GGCCAGGCCGGGTGGGAGGTGGCAGAGCACACACCGAGGTTGCTGTTTGAGCACACACCGAGGTTGCTGTTCTCTTCTTCCCCTTCCCCTTCCCTGCAGCTGTTCTCTCCCCTTTTGGTGTGAGTCCCCAGGTGTCCTCCTGCTCCTTGCCCACTGTTTCCCTGTCAGCCTGTCCCAGCCGTGCCCCATTGCTTGTCCCATGCCCTGCAGGGAAGAAGGGCCCCCTGTGTGCCCCATCAATGGGGCCCTTGTGCTTCTCACTCTGGTGCGCTCACTGGATGGACATCCCGGCGCCAGGCTGGCCGCACTGGGGAGGTCAGTGCTCAGATCCCAGATCCACCTCAGCACTGTTCATGTGTGTCCCRTGGAGTGGCCTTCAGTGCTGTGTCCAGGGATCCCTGCCCAGGTGGCTGTGCCATAGCACAGGGGCTGAAATGGCACCGAGGGGTGCAGGGCTTGTAGGTGCTTCTGGAGAGTGCTGTGATGGACCTGGCACCATCAGAACAAGCTGTGGGGCTCTGAGAGTTGTGCAGGGCTTGTAGGCGCTTCTGGAGAGTGCTGTGATGGATCTAGCACCATCAGAACAAGCTGTGGGCTCTGAGAGTTGTGCAGGGCTTGTAGGCGCTTCTGGAGAGTGCTGTGATGGACCTGGCACCATCAGAACAAGCTGTGGGGCTCTGAGAGTTGTGTGGGAATGGGATCCAAGGTACATAAAACACAGAGAGGCTCCAACTCAAAGGATTTTGCTAATTTGGAAAAATGCAGCAGTAACTACGGTGCGAGTCTGTAGTCACTCACCTGGCCTTACTTGTAGAGCAGCTGTGCTCTGGATGGTGTCCTGGGAGGTGTTTGCATGCAGGGACTGGCTGCTGCAGCCCAGCTGCTGGGAAGGGGTTAAGATGTGCTGTCTGTCTGTGCTCTGTGCTGCACTTGTTGTTTTATGTGTAACTGCACATGTGTAACTTACTGCAGTGCTGTGCAGAGAGAGGGGCTGTTCCAGCTCCTGCTAACAAAGCAGGCTGCTCTCTGCTCCTTCCTGCTGTAAGGCCTGCAAGTCATTTAAGGATTTTAGGCATCCAGGATATAGCTGAAATGTGCCATCCTTCAGCTGCTTGGAGTCAGCTCACTTGAAACTGGGAGGCTGCTGTTTGCCTCAAGTTGRCTGTTTTTAGAAACAGAGTGAACAAAGTATCTCATATTTGGAAAACTTTTTTTTTTTTCTTTTTTTTTTTCTTTTTTTGCCAGGAGGGTGGGGATGAGGATTTGGAGGTGGAGAGTATGGGGCAAAGCATCCTTCAGAGGTTTGGAACACAGCAGAGGTGGTTCACTGCTCTCAGGGTTTTGTCTGCTGAGCTTTGAACTGTGAGTTGGGAGGTTCGTCCAGGAGGAGCTCACCCTGTCCATGGAATTACTGGATCCAACATTTGGGTTGAAGAGATGCCTTCAGGCAGCACCAGCTCTGTGTGCCCTGGTGGTTTGGGATGTCAGGAGCAGTGGAAATGGAACTGTGAATATTTATAAACTTGGTCGTGATGATCTTGCAGGTAGTTTGGGGAAATGAAGGCAGAAGCTAAGGAAACAAAGTGAAAAGCTCATTTTTCACTTTTTTCCTTCATCTGACTAGGATTAAGAAAGAGGAACGCTGGAATGTGCATCTGATTTTTTCCAGCAGTATGGAAGAAAATCAGCGAGTCGTGATGTGCTCTGTTGGCAGCAGAACTGCAGGGAGATGTAACTTCTGATGGGAATGGGAAGCTTAGGACAGACTTACCCTGAGACCTGTCTGTGGAAAAGGCAGGAGGAATGGGAGAGGGTTGGAACAGCCTTGTCCCTGTTCTGGCTAAAATATCCTTGTAAATGGTGCAGCACTTTGCTGAGTGATGTTCTGTGTGTCCATCTACATTGAGTGTCCCATACTTCTACATATAAAATAAGGCATTGAAAGGCTTTGAATTATTTAATGTAATTCCACAACACAGACAGCTTAAGAATGCAGTTTTTCAAATGTTCTATGGGTAAGCGTAAGGATTTATGCTCCAAAAGCCACCTTGGGAGTGAAACTCTTATGAATAAAAGTTTGGGAGTTGCATGGCAGCACCATCAGGAAAATATCAAAGATTTGGGGTGCCTTTAAAAGGACTTTATGTCTCTGTGTATGTGACTGAATTCCATTCTCCTCAAGAGGTTTTGATAAAGTTTCTCAAATTACAGACCTGGAATTCCCAGTCACTTACACAGATGGATGTTTGTGTGAAACTGGTCTTGCTTTTATTCCACACAGGTATTTTCTCCTTTCAAATGTCACAGGGTGAAGCTGTAGCTTTTGAGTGGGGATATTTGTAGCATCCAGTMAATGTCTTCTCATCCTACTGCTTTRTGGTGGCACCAAGGGAAATTRTTCTGAGCCAAAGCTGGTATTAGAGATCAAGGAATTTGAGTAAAAATGGAAGCAACAATTCCTCTTCCTTTGCAACCTACAGGAAAAAGAGCTTCATTAGTTTGTGAGTGTTAGTTTGCATGAATGAAATGATTTCTTTTCTTAGTCTTTGGAAGGAACTTGGAAAAAGCTATTGTAGGAAAAATTCCTTTCTCTGATGGTTCTTCAGCTCCATTGGGGGGGAAGCTGGACTTGTTCACCTGCAGGAATGAGTTTCCTGTGCCTTGTGTTGTCTCCTGACAACTCATCCTGTTGTGTAGGTGCAGCTTATAGGGAAATTCCTCCCATCACGTGCAGGTCTGTCCTGCTCAGTTGCTTTCAGTGGCAGTTGGGGGTAGTTTTGATCTCCTAAATGCTGGTGACATCCCCGTTGGGTCTGGGCAGACACAGCAGGGCTGAAGTGCAGGGGGAGGGAAAGGAGGAAAGGGCACAGAGGCTCTTGGAGGTGGAACTTGGTGCTGGTCCAGAGCTTCCCCAGCTGTGACTTCATTGTGAGATGATTCTCCTTTCCCCACACAGGTATCTTTGCTTACCTGAACTACCATGTTCCCAGGACGAGGAGGGAGATCCTGGAGACCCTCATCAAAGGGCTCCAGCGCCTGGAGTACCGGGGCTATGACTCTGCAGGTACCTCTCTCTGTGCAGCAGCACTGCTTTGGGGAATTTGGGCTTGTAAATTATGGCTTTTGGGGTGTGATTGCAAATGGCTTCTCCCACCTTCTGCTTTTGAAGAAAGCTGAAACACAAACTGGATGTGCCTGTGGTCAGAGGTTTGGATTAACTTCAATATACTGGTTTCTATAAACATTCTTGATGGCTTTGTTTTCCTAAGGCTTTAAAAATATGACAAGATGACAAAGTGAAAACTTAGTTCTAATCGAAGGGGTTTCTTGCCTTTATGTGGAGGGTCAGCTCTTCGAGAAAGGGCTCTAGAAGAATCAAAAGGGGCAGTATTTGTTTACATAAAATACTTATAGTAACTTCTGCTCTTGACCCTCTTTCTCCATGTTCCATGGTGGGGTTTAGGTGTGGGACTGGATGGTGGAAATGACAAAGACTGGGAAGCCAATGCCTGCAAAATCCACCTTATCAAGCAGAAGGGGAAAGTGAAGGCTCTGGATGAAGAGGTTCACAGTAAGTATCTCCCTTTCCTCCTTTCCCTGCCCTCTTCCCTGGAGATGTCCTCTCATCTGGTTTGTGTTTTGAGTATCACCTGTTTTAATCAGGAACACTGTATTTCCAAGTAACTTGTGTGTGAAGAGCCAGAGGTGTAAACCCTTGGGGGTGAGCTATAAAGAGCCTGGTGATCCTGTGGGTGTTGGTGTGAAGTTACAGAGAAATCCTGATTTTTCAAGACAAAGGAGTTGCATCCTACTAAAGTAGAATAGACCTGAAATGCATCTTGGAAAACAGACAAGAAAAGCTCCAAAAYAACCAACCAAAAAACTCCTTGAACTGGAGATAGAGGAGACATAATTATCAAGAGATAACTATCAAGACCTAGAGCATGGGCAGGAGAAATGCTGCAAGAACCTCACCGACTGGGTTTTAAATGTTCCCATGTAACACTTGTCCCAGCTGGAGCCGTCCATTCCCTCTGCAGGGGCTTCAGGAAGGCACTGGTTTGTGTCACTGTCACATTGATCAGGCTGCAGAGACTCAGGGCTTCTGCATCTCTCTCTGCCTCTTTATATTCCCTTGGTTTAAACCTTAGATTCACTAAATATGAGCTCAATGCAAAGGTGCACAGAGTTGTTGGGAGTGGAATGCAGGCAGTGTGAGGGCGGGGAGGTGTTTTTCAGAGCAGTAAGGATCTCATCCTCAAAAAGCTGCTGTGTTGGTGTAATTCGATCTTTTTAACCCATTCTGGTGTTCACCTCAGGTGCAGAGTGCTGTGTGTCCTAGAGGGAGGTGGGTCAGTCTGATCTTAGTGTAAACCAACAGGCAAAAAGTCCAGATGAGGTGGGGTGTGTGGTACAGAACCAGGAGATGGACAGAGGATTCCTGGAAAGAGGTTTGCCTGCTCAAGAAAATGCGAGGATATACAGCTTTGAAGAGATTGTGGAAACACTTGTGGAACAAAAGGAGTGTTTTTTCCAAAGAAATATTCATGCTCTAGGCTTTCTAGAGACAGGGTTAGGGATGAATGAATAACCACGGTGGTGTGCAGGGCTAGTTCAGTCACAGATGACAGGATGGGGCACCCCTGGACAACTCAGGGTTGGCTTCTTCCCTGAAGGGTTGCTTTTTGCACAGGTCTGTTTTCTGTGTTTATCTGCCTTACCTTGAAAACCCCGTGAGGTTTTGGTTGGACTTTGATGATCTTAAAGGTCTTTTCCAAGCTTAGCAGCTCTGTGATTCTGATCCTATTGGCTTTGCTGGCTGTCTGCATTGCTGTTCTGTAGTCCCTGGGGTCTGGTGAGACTCACAGCTTAACCTGGCCTGTGGACAGCCCCTCAGGACTAAAACCTTCTGCTTGTGCTGCAGAGCAACAGGACATGGACCTGGACATCGAGTTTGATGTTCACCTGGGGATTGCCCACACACGCTGGGCCACGCATGGGGAGCCCAACCCCATCAACAGCCACCCGCAGCGCTCCGACAAGAACAATGGTCAGTGCCTTCCCCAGCATCCTCAGCATCCTCAGCAGGTCCTGGAGCCTCTGGAAAAGCTTCCTGCCCCCTCCATGTCCCAGGAGGGGTGGCTGGCTGCAGGCAGGGGGTTTGTTCAGGCTGTGGTGCTGAGCCTGGTTATGATCAAGCTGCAGGGTTTGGGATCTAGGTCTGGCCATGGGGTGTGTTCCCAGCAGTGAGGGATCCCAGGAAGGGTTGGGGTGGGTGCCCAGGGCTTGGCTGGGTGCGTGGGCACAGAGTGAGGAGGAGAAGACACAAGGAAATGGGATGGTGAGAATTTTTTTGGCTGTTCTTTGGAATGGAATTTCGTAAACTTTTTTCCCTAATCCCGCTGTAGGGAAGGGGGTTGGTGTGCTTGGGGCTGTCACGGCGTGGGACTGTCACAGCGTGGGTTGTGTTGGGTGTGGCTGCCCAGGGAACAGCAGCTCTCAACTGGCAGCAGCAGTGTGGGGTTCATTGCTCCAGGAGGATGGATGCTGCCAAGTGCTCGAGTGGCTCCAGAAGCTTTGCAGGGTCTGGGTAGCCCTGGTCACACCCAGGTCAYTGTTATCCTCCCCCACTCCCAGCCRTGCCCATGGGGCAGAACAGGGAATTGCACCAGGAGGTGAAACGTGCTTTGGCTCGTCCCACAGTCACATGTGGGCTCTGCTGGCCGGGCTGGGGCTGGCATGGGGCTGAGCAGGGCCTTTCCTCTGTCCCCAGAGTTCATCGTCATCCACAACGGCATCATCACCAACTACAAGGACCTGCGCAAGTTCCTGGTGAGTGACCCCTGGGGGGTGTGACCCTCCCTTTCCCACTCCCCTTGGCTCTCACACACTTCCCAGCTCACTGCCCCTCTTGTATTCTCACTCTCACTCTCCCATTTACCCTCCCCACTCCTCCTGTTCCTTCACTCACATTTCCTCACTCCCCATTCATCTCTCACAGTCATTCCCCCACTCACATTCGCTCTCACCTCCATCCATCTTCCCCCACTCACAGTTTTGCACTCCCACCCTGTCTCCCTGCCATATTTGCACTCACACTCCTTCCCTTACACTCTCACAGACTCTCCTACTCTGTGAGTTCCTTCTCACACTGACATCCCACCCACCTCACTCCCACTCCCCCACTCATATCTGACATTCACACTCGCTGCCCTGCTCACCCGCCCCGACTGTCACTCCCTCCTCATCCCCCACTCACACTCCCCCATTCATTCTCCCACTGACGTTTTCCCCACTTGCACTTTCCCACTAAAACTCCCTCTCTGTCTCCTTCCCACCCTGACTCCCCCTTCACATTCTCACACTCACTCTATTCACACTTCCCCATTATTCCACTCACTCCCTCTCCATTCCCACTCCTCTCTTACCCATTCACGCTCCCCCCTCATATTCTCACACTCACTCCTTTACTCTGACACTTCCACTCCCCTCATGCTCCTGCTCGCTGTCCTCTCCTCATATTCTTGCAATTTGAAAGGCAGGAAGGAAGGATGAAAGGAAAGTGTGAGGAGATGACAGAAAGAAGGAGAGAGAAAAGGCAGGAAAGTAAAAAGAAGAGGAAAAGCAGAGCGAAGGATGAGAAATAAAAGAGGAAAAAAGCTGCAGTATAGAAGGATAAAAAGAAAGGGGAGAAGGAGATGCAGAAAGAAAAGGAAAAGCAGGAAAAAGGAAAGACAAGGAAAAGGGAAGGAAAAGAAAAGATGAGGGAGGAAGGCCAGAGCAAAGAAAAAGAAAGGCATGAGGAAAAGGGAAGAAAAAGTTGAAGGGAAGGTGAAGGAAAGGAAATAGTAAAAACCAGAAAAAGAAAGGAAGAAAAAGTCAGGAGGAAGGGAAGGAAGGCAAACAAGGTGGAAGGGAAGGCAGAGGGCTGGTCACCCACACGTGTGTCCCTGCAGGAGAGCAAGGGCTATGACTTCGAGTCGGAGACAGACACAGAGAGCATCGCCAAGCTGGTCAAGTACATGTACGACAACCGCGACAGCGACGACATCAGCTTCACCACGCTGGTGGAGAGAGTCATCCAGCAGCTGGTAATGCTGGGGGCAGGAGGGGACAGTGGGGGGATGGACATACAGGGACAGTCCCCCCAGAAATAACCCCTGCACTCCAGTGCTGCCAGGGCACTCCAGTGCTGCCAGGGCTCTCCAGTGCTGCCAGGGCACCGCAGTGCCAGCCCGTGCACCGCTGCAGGATGCTCTGGAGCACGTGCTAAGGTGTGTTTTTAGCTCTGCTACCTCTGACAGTTCATCTCAGGTGTACATTCGGTTTTCTTGAACAGTTGTTAGTGTTCTTCTGGGAAATGTCCAAACTTTTGGGCACAGCAGCAGCTGGAGGCTGCCAGTCCCTGGCTGGGGTGCTGAGAGCAGGGAGGGAGCCTGCCCGGGAGGGAGGCAGAGCCTTGCAGTCCTTCCCAAAGCTGTGTCCGGGAGAGCTGCTGACCTCTGGTGGGAGCTCACTGTGGAGCCTCAGCTCCCACGTGTCAGTCCCTGCCCTCTGACGTGCAGGATCCATCACAGTTCCCCAGCTGATCTTCCCTTTCAGCTGATCTTTGCCTTTGTAGGTCCATTTACTGCATCCTGAGCTAAAGCAGGAGCCACTTGGATGACCAAGGGAGTCTGAGTGTCTCTCTGGGTGTCCAGTGCACTCATTCAGTGGTTGAGGATGCACTGCCAAGCTCAGGGGAGGGACATCCTTCTGAGATGGGGATGCTGGAGCTACAGGTGGTTCTGAAAACATTTGTGAAACCACCTCTTTGGAGGCTCTTCCTTACCCACAGACCAGAGCAGTTTCTGTGCTGGGAAAACTGAAATGTTGCCCAGGCCTCAGTGAAGGGATAACCAGTTAGTGTTTCTTCTGTTCCAGGAAGGTGCTTTTGCCCTCGTGTTCAAGAGTGTTCATTATCCCGGGCAAGCAGTTGGTACCAGGTAAATGTTGTCATGGAAAAGAATGTTCTTGCACCCTGGCTGTCATGTTTTTTTGTACCCTCAAGTTAGAAGATAGACTAGAGATCATTCTCATCACACTTTACATGCTGGGGAGAGGGTTGTGGTTGTTGTTGTTTTCAGTTTCCTTTCTTGTTTTCCATCTATCAGAAGAAATTGCCAAAAATACTTTGAAAGTTTCTTATTGACCAGCTGTGTCACAACTGGTTTGGTTTTGGTATCCTCTGGTTTTGATTTGAAAGGAGATGATTTTACCTTTTCCTTTGTGTTTACCCTTGTGGCAGCACTTGGACAAGTCCTCCATTTGGCTTGGAATTTGGGCCAGCCTTGTGTTCAGGTTTTCTGTCCCACATTTAAACACCAGCATCAGCTGGGGTGGTTTCACCAGGGGTTGAATTTCAGTGCCCATACCTGTCAGGTAGGTATGTACAGTGAGGAGCAGTCCCTGTTTCAGGTGTGCAGTGCCTCTTGCAGGGTTTTGTCTAGCCTTGATGCAGGTTCCTCACATCCTTGTGTTGTTCATCCTGCTGTTCTTTCCCTCTGTGTTGTGGACCTGTTTGCAGCAGCAGCAGCAGTAGGGGCTGCTCTGCGAAGCTCTGGCTGTGCCTTGGTGGGGAGCAGAAGGCCCTGGGTGGGCTGTGGGGGTGTCCCTGAGGTGCTGAGCTGTCCTTGTGTCCCTGAGGTGCTGAGCTGTCCTTGTGTCCCTGCAGGCGAGGCAGCCCCCTGCTCATCGGTGTGCGCAGCGAGCACAAGCTCTCCACAGACCACATCCCCATCCTGTACCGCACAGGTGAGTGGAGACACAGACACATGGCTGCTCTGACAGAYTGCAGCTCTACAGTGTAAATAAAAYCATATTACAGASACCTTTCAAAGCAAGTTTTTAACCACATGTTCTACCCACGATATATCTCAAGTGTTTGGCCTCTAGTGTTTTAATTTAAGCTTTAATTTACAGTGATTGCATGGAAAATACAAGTTAATGTAGTGGAATGAAGTATAGTCATGGAGTGGTTTGGGTTGGAAGGGTCCTTAAAGCCCATCTTGTTCCAGCCCCACTCCCATGGGCAGGGACACCTTCCACTTTCCCAGCTGAATCCCAAGCCCTGTCCAGCCTGGCCTTACACACTTCCAGGGATATTGGAATATTTCTGCATAATAAACTGAACAGTGTAGTTAAACTCAGGTCTGTGTTCTGCGTGTGGCATTTTGGCATTTGTGAGCCTGGTGATTTTCAGGAGCAAAGATGGCTGAGCTTTGCAGGCTGGAGACTTGGCACTGTCACAGACCTTGCCCCTGACAATGTCTGTTTGTTGTCTGTCCATCCTGCTCTCACAAGTGTTTTACCACTGTAGACACCCTTGAAAATGAAAAATGATGAAGAATTTCTCTGTAATTTACTGTTGTCACAGGGGTCTGAACCTGTTCAGTCCATGGGCCCTGGACTTGGTTCTGTGCATTGCAGGGATCCAGAGGAAGTGCTGTCCTGTGTCTTCCTATTTTCTATCAGTGTAGTTATTGATGCCCTGCTGCAAGACCAGTCCCAGAAGTTTTGCCTTTTGATTATGTTGGATAATAAGCAGTAATGTTGATGTATGTATGTAACACTATATTTTTTTACTGATTATCTGAAGTTTGGTTTATTTTATTTCCAATTGCACTTTCAGCTGTACAATCTATGGATCATTCTTTTGATGGAATATCCATAAAAATGGAGGAAGGTGCCTACCAGAGAAAAGCTAATACTTGAATTTTCAGACAAATCCTCCATTTCCTTAGGAGAAGAATCATAAATGAGACCAAGATGCATTGTCTCTAATATGTGGTTATTGCTTTCCGTGTTGTGTAGTGAAACAAGTGGGATAATCAGAATTCCTTCTTGATCAGAAACACCATGAGCAACACACAGGAAAACCCACTCATTCCATTGCAAATATTGGGGTATAATGCTCAGCATATGTGCAAAACTCATGACAATGCAGGTTGTGCTGAGTGTTTCTGCAGGTCTAACTACAGAAGGAAACAGTAAATTACCTTAAAAATAAACCCCACTATGGCAGGAGGCTGCTAATAATCCTAATGCAAGCATTCTCCAAAATTCCTCCTGGGGTTTGGAGTGTCAGAGCTGTGTCCTCCCCCTGAGCAGGGTGTGAGTGAGCTGCAGCCTCTGTTCACAGCACTAAGGTTGTCCTGAGGCTGGGACTTCCTTCCCTTGTGCATTCTTCAGGGGAACAATCTGTAAATCCCTTGAAGTACTTTAAAGGGGAGCCCATCACGTGTGATGGGATGAACCCAGGTCACATGTGAAGCAGGAGAACCCTTTTCTGTGAGGGGAAAGATCTGATTCTTGGTGACTGTGAAAAAATGGGATTCCACCCTCATCAGAGCCTCAGTGACCCTGGGCACTGGCAGCTCCCTGGGTAAAACATCTGAGATGTCTCTTGCTGGAGGAGAGGCAAACCTGGGTTTGTTGAAAGGTGAACTCTGTTCTCTGCCAGCAGCTGGTTTGCCTGACTCAAAACATCAGGGGAGATTTGGTTTCTCTTCACCAAATGTACCTCTCTCTGTATAAAATGTTGGAAGTAAAATTCTGAAGCCAGGTGAGTTCCCAGGGGCTCTGAGGACCCAAGTCTCTCAGAGAGGCACTGAGGCTTTTCTGAGAAATTGCCCCCCTGCCCGTTTTTACCATACCTGGGTTAATTCTCCACTCTTTGGTTCAGAAGGGAAGAGATTAAAACATTTCTTTTGTGTTGCTTCTAAATTGTAGTAAATGAAGGGATTGGTGCTGTAGAACAACAATCCAGATTATCTATAAATAAATGGGCAAATCCATAGATAAAATAAAGAACATAATTGTCTGATAATACTTGCTGTAACTTCCCAAGCCAGCCTTGGTAGTTACACACATAGTGCATGTGTGTGTGCACAATGAACATATTCCAGTGCTCAGTCTTTAATACAGGAAAGCAATGCAACATAATAAAGTCAATGCAGGGAAATGTTCTATTTTGAGAAACTAAATTTGCATGTTTTGATTAGGTCTGGCTGCTTCTGTTGGGGAGGGGCCACTAACAGCTCTGCTCTGTCCTTTCTCAATACCAAATCAGTCTGTCCTGTCTCAACTCCAAAACAAAAGTGTTGTTTTCCTCATTGAATAACTGGAAGGCTCTAAATCATTGGCTGAGTGGACCTTTTTTACTGAGTATCAACATGAAAGCAGTATTTTTCCTTTACATTTTAATTTGCAGAAATGTACATGAGAACACCACAAGCTCTACTTGCATCACTGAATTCAGTCAGTGTCTAGTAGGTGAAACAACATCAGGATTATGGAATAAATATAGAATTGAGTAACTTCAGTGTTGTTGTTCTTCAGCAATAGTCACATTTTGGTAGATAAGCTGATTAATCCACCCCCACCCTCCCCATACCCTGCACAATGACTGGCAAATAATTTTGCTTGAGGCTGGTGCTGAGCAGTAGGTGTTTGGTGCCTCATCTGCATCCCTGATGAGCTTCACCACACACTGAGAAGCAGTTTGAGGAGTATGATTAGCCAGTATTGGGAATTGTCAGAGTAGTCCAGAAAGGATTCCTGATGACACAGTGAACTTTCAGGACAGGTTTTTCCAAAACTGACTTTCAGTCCTGTGTCCTGCAGCACCCTGGATACCTCCCTGGCAACAGCAGAGGTGTGATTTTTGGGTCAGGAAGAAGTGGTTGTTTTTGATAGCACAGGAGCAAGGCTGAGTTCTTAATCCTGGATTTGCTGAGCTGTGTTTGACCAATGATCTCAGGCAGACAGAAATAGGTTTGGGTTCCACCTGTGCTGCTTGGGGAGCAGTGTGGTCACACAGGTGGTAGCTCGGACAGAATTTCCCCAGTGCTGAGAGTAATAAAGAAAGAGAAATTCTGCTCCATTTCATTCATTTCTCAGGAGAGTCTCGCCAGAGAGGAACATGGGAGAAACTTAAAATGGTACATAGAGAGGTTTAATGGGGAAATGTGGGTAAATGTGGCTGCTCATAAAGCAGTGTGAATTCCCTACTAGTGGAGCCACACCAAACTTTAATTTGTTTTTTTTTCCTCATATTCTGTACTTAAAAGTGCACTGGCAATACACTTCCAGACTTATTGGAAAGCACATAAAACCTTTGCAATCAAACTGAGAATGGGCACAACAGTGCGAGTGCTGCTGTGCATTTACTGTGCCCACCTGCAGGCATGAAAATAGTGCTTCATGTTGGTACTGTGCCTTGGGGCCTCTGCTGGCTGTGACCTGTGCTCAGGAGTCTGATCCTGGGTAGCCCCTGACCCTCCTGTCTCCTAGGGAAAGACAAGAAGGGAAGCTGCAACCTGTCCCGAGTTGACAGCACCACCTGCCTCTTCCCTGTGGAGGAGAAAGCTGTGGAATATTACTTTGCTTCTGATGCCAGGTAGGGTTTTCCAGCATCTTTAGTGTATGTAGAAATATCCTGTTTAAAGCTCTCTTGATGGGGGAGGCTGTGGTTTCTCTGTGAATAAATTATGTATATGTGGCCATTACTGTGCAAATACTGACTAAAGCAGAGTTGCTGTTTAAGGAATGAACTCTGGCCTTGGAATATGAAGGTATTATCCTTCTTCAGGCACATCAGTTGGTAAAATTTCCCAGTGGTAGGAAACCTGAAAGAGTACTGACCTAAATTAGCAGCACAGGTACTAATTATGAGGAGACTGATACTGATTCCCCAGGGGTCTCTGCACACATGCAATTCCTTCATCACCAAAGGTGGCATATTGTAATCCCAGAGGAGCAAAGATAGACTGACTTGGCAGCAGCCTTAGCACAGTTTTTGGGATTCCCTGGTTCAACAGAAATGGGTGCTTGCTCCAGGAATGTAAAAATACTGCTGTGCTTGACTTCTGCAGCTCTTCCATCAGAGAGCTGTGGAGAGCCTTAGGACACCCTGATGTGTTCTGGTTTTGGAGCTTTCCTGTGGCTTGCCCAAGGTCAGGACAAAAGCTGCTGAAACAGGGAGCTGCTGTTTGTCAGCTCAGCTCAGCTCAGCTGAGAGCACTGACTGAAACCTGGCCCCAGGTTTTGAACCCCACTGGTGATGCCATCACTGACCCTCCCCCAGGGAGCTGTGGGCAGGGCAAGTGTGTGATAGCATCCAGTTCTTGTAGTGCTGCTGAGCAGATCTCAAGTGCCTTAGAGCAGGGGATAGAGCTGTCCCTGGGTTTTCAGATGGTCAAAGTGAGCTGCAAGGAGGGACAGTGGCTTATCCCTGGAAAAACCAAGGAAGGAACCTGTTCCTCTGTTTGAGCAGCCTGTGTGCCAGGGCAAATCCCTGCCTTCACTCTCTAGCTCCAGACAGGTCCCATTGCTGCAAGTGCTGCTTAGTCTGAGCAATTCAGAGTTTCTCCTTAAAGCAGGCACTGAAATTAATAATGAGCCAGGTGGAAAAAAATCCAGCTCCATTGGCAGGGCAGAAATGTACTTTACATGACTGGTCCAATTTTAAAAGAAATTCCATTGAAACAAGCACCTTTCTTGACTCAAGAGCTGCATTTTGGGTGGTGGGAAGGGCCCAAGTAGCAGTGAGGTGCCCAGAGCTGTGTGTGATGGTGCTGTGTGACCCCACAGTGCTGTCATCGAGCACACCAACCGTGTGATCTTCCTGGAGGATGACGACGTGGCCGCCGTGGTGGACGGCCGTCTGTCCATCCACCGCATCAAGCGCACGGCCGGAGACCACCCGGGACGGGCTGTCCAGACCCTGCAGATGGAGCTGCAGCAGATCATGAAGGGTGAGAGCTGCTGGGTGGAACCTGCCCAGGGGCACTGCTCCCTCCTGCAGTCACAGCTGCATCAGGTGGGAAGGACTGGAGGTCACCTGGTGCCATCCCTGAGCCCAGTGATAACTCAGTTGAGTCTGGACATCTCCAAGGACACAAATCCCACAGCATGGTCCAGTGCTTCATCACCCTCATGGTGTGAAAAAAGTCCTTGCATGTTCTTACTTTCTCTCTAGCTGCTGACACCATAATGAGGGGAATTGTGGGGCTGAGGGTTTTGCTGCCTCCTTGGAGCCATCTGGTTTTTCCAAGATTGATCCCTTCCAGACTTGCCAGTCTGGATCTGCCCTTCACTGGCACCTTTTAGAAACTTGAATCAAGCTCTCATGATGAGCTGATGCTTTGGTAGAAAAGAAGTATCAGTTCAATAATGTCTGGCTGGTAGCTGGCCTGTTAGTGACTCCGGTCCAAGCTTTTCCTTACATACAGAGGAAAAATGGCAATTACCAGGGGATAATTTAAAATTCAAGTTTGCAGGAGGAGGTAAAGTGTTTGTTTTTTTCTTTCTTCATAGGTAACTTCAGCTCATTTATGCAGAAGGAAATATTTGAACAGCCAGAATCTGTCGTTAATACTATGAGAGGAAGGGTCAACTTTGATGACTACACTGGTAATTGAGCTTTAGCCTCCCTCATTCCTGACAACTCAGTGTCCAGCAGTTATTCACAGTAGTTAGTGGGGAAGAAGGGGGTGATGACATGGGAGATGAAAACCTGGCTGGTGTGAGATGAAGTGTGTGTCACAGAGTGCCTCCAGGATTCTGTTTGCTGTGTGAGATCACATCTTGTGATGGTTTTTGCAAAGTGGATGATGCTGATTGTAAAATGCTCTTAGCACCAGTGACCTTGAGGATTTCTGCAGTGTGGCCACCCTAACTTTCCTCTCTGCTTCCTGCTCACAGTGAACCTGGGTGGGCTGAAGGATCACATCAAGGAGATCCAGAGGTGTCGGCGTTTGATCCTCATCGCCTGTGGCACGAGTTACCACGCAGGAATGGCTGTGAGTGCTGGGCTCTGGGCTGGGCTCAGCAGCAATGTCACAATCACAGGCTGGGGTGGCTTGGAGGCACCTTAAATCCCATCCAGTCCCAATCACAGGCTGGGGTGGCTTGGAGGCACCTTAAATCCCATCCAGTCCCACCCCTGCCATGGGCAGGGACACCTTCCACTGTCTCAGGCTGCTCCAAGCCCTGTCCAGCCTGGCCTTGGACACTTCAAGGATCCAGGGGCAGCCACAGCTTCTCTGAGCACCCTGTGCCAGGGCCTTGCCACCCTCACAGCACCCTCACCCTTCTAATAATCTAATTTAAGTCTACCCTTTTTCAGTTTAAAGCCATTCGCCTTTGTCCTGAGACTCCACCCCTTGTCCTCCATCCCTCTCCAGCTCTCTTGCAGCCCCTTTAGGCCTGGAAGGGGCTCTGAGCTCTCCCTGGGGAGTGTATGGCATGTGCCAAGCAGATTAAGGATTGATTTCAGGTTAAGGATTGATTCTTAACCTTAATCAGGTTAGGAGTAAGCAAGTGCACACAGGTGAATAAAGGACTTTCAGTTCACAGCAGCAGCAGGAGGAAATAAAAGCTGAAGAACCTGAATTTAGGGAAATGGTTCCTGTGACTTCCATGGCTGTGGAAGGCTTTGAAAAACAAAGCCTGCTCTGTTGTAAAAGGTAGCTAGCAGCAGAGGGACAATGCCAGAGCAGAAATGCAAATACTGCAGCAAGGCAGAGGCTGCTGGCAGCCAGGTAGGATTCCTGGCCTGGATATAAGTGGTGGTTTCTGAGTTCTTCAGGCTGCAGTGTGATAGACACACAGGACACCCTGCATTACATAATTTATATGGAGGGTCATGTAATAAGTGAGACTGACTTCAGAGAAATCTCCATGTGAGTGAGAATTTGGCCTCACAGGCTGCTGGTGGTGCTAAAGCAAGGTTGTTTCTCACAGGGGTACTTGGTGACTGGAGTATGTGCATGCTGAGTAATTAAAGTATAATCCAGCACTAATTTTCACATGGGGTTTTAATAGCAATATTTTCCAGCGTGTGACTGCTAAAAAGCTTTTTCTGTGCAAACACTTGGTTTTATAAACATGATGTAATACCTGACTTCCTGCACCTCCTTGTTCCAGACACGTCAGGTGCTGGAAGAACTGACAGAATTACCTGTCATGGTGGAACTTGCCAGTGACTTCCTGGACAGAAACACCCCTGTGTTCAGGGATGATGTCTGCTTCTTCCTCAGCCAGTCAGGTATGGGCTCCCTTCCCCACCCTCCCTCCCTCCTTCCCCACCCTCCCTCCTTCCTTCCCAGAGCCTGGAAGGAGGGAGGGAGAAGGCAGCAGGGCCAAGTTAGATATTAGGAAAATGTTTTTTTGTGGAAAGAGTGATAAAGCACTGGAATGGTCTGCYCGGGGAGATGATGGAGTCACCATCTCTGGATGTGTTTAAAACRGATTGGATGTGGGGATTGGTGCCATGGTTTAGTTGAGGTGTTGGGTCRTGGGYTGGACTGGAAGATCTTGAAGGTCTCTTCCAAATCTGGTGATTCTGGGATTCTGAGTTCTGGTGCCTGAGGATGTCACTCAAATCCCAGGGCTAGGCAGCCCCAGCGTGCTTTTCCTTGCTCCATGGCAGAGGCTGCAGGGTTCCTGGGGCTGAGGCTGGCAGGTGGGACAGGAGTTTTGTTTCCTTTCTCTGGGAGAAAATGCTGCATTGATCAACAGACTGGAGAATGCTGTTGAGGCTGGGGTAAAGCAGCACTGTAATTTCTTTGGAATAGTTTTGCTTCTCTAGTTAAAGCACCACCATATGGTGGATTAGAGCCTCAGAAAAAATGAAACTCTTAGACATGAATATAAAAAAATCCAACTAACTTGGAATGGAGTAGGAGATAAAAGGCATACTGAAGCATGAAAAGATTTATATGATGTATTTCATATTTTCAAGGACAACTGCAATACAAAACAACATTTTTTTTCACCTTAGTTGCATTTACCACTTCAGATTTTCATGAGTGATCTTCAGCTGTGACGCTAAAAGCAGTCATAACTTTATCTCCACAAGTTAAAATACCCTTTTTGGGAGCAATCTTTTCTTCTCAGTAGCAATTCTTCTCAGTACCAAGTGTCTCAGAATATCCTCTCTGAGGGGGGCTCATGATCAGGTTATCCCTGGGGTTTTTGAAGATGCAAATCCCTTAGAGTCCTGTCCCAGTCTAACAGGGAACACTCCTGAGGGCACACAAGGGACTCAGTCTTTCCCTGAAGTGTTGGATATGGCAAACTAAAGAAGATTCTCCTGGAACCTGAGCTCGCTCATCAGGCAGTACAAACCCAAAGTAAATACTGAGCTCAAATAACTCGTTCCCCCCCACCCATAAATCTGTTTTTAGTCGTGAATTCTGTATGACTGGCTTTAAGTAGAGCACTGTGCAGGGCAGGTCTGGGCACTGAAGAGACATGTACCAATCTCCCCTTGGGGGTTTTGTTCTCTTTTGTCATCTTGCACGTGCAGGAGTCCTCAGAGCTGTGTCCTTCTAGGACTAAAGCAAACTGTGACACGAGCTGGAAGGCACAGCAGCTTCCATTCATGGCCCATCTCTGGAGCTCAGCTCAGGAGCAGCTCAAGACATCCCTAAAATGTGTTTTCCCCCCATAGCTTCCTGCCCAGGTGAATTTTTATTAATCAGGAAAACAAATTAAGTAGACTTTTGTTAAGGGGACTACCCTTGAACTGCCTTTTGCCCCTTTTCTTAAACCATAGCAGAAACTGGCTTTACCTTACACCAAATACTGCTGATGGGTTTTGTGTTTTCTGGGTGTTGTGCCCTGTGTTCAGGGTTGTGCTGGGGCTGAAGTGGCTGCTGCCACCTCCTTGGCTTGCAGGAAACACGAACTTTGGGCTCTGTGTGGGAGCTGGTGTGTGGGGTGCTGGTGCTTGCACTTGCAGCAGGAGCTGGTGCCACCCAGCAGCACTGGGCACCTTGTCCCCACATGTCCCAGTATTTCCCTGCATGTCCCTGTGTTTGTTTCTCAGCGATTCTCCATGTGTCCCAGCATTTCCCTGCGTGTCCCAGTGATTCCCCGCGTGTCCTGGCATTTCCCAGTGTTTCCCTGTGTCCCCATGTATCCCTGCATGTCCCTCTGGTCCCTCCGTGTTTTCCAGCATTTCCCTGTGTGTCCCAGCATTTCTCTGTGTGTCCCAGCATTTCCCGGCATGTCTCTCTGTGTTTCCCAGTGTTTCCCTGTGTCCCCATGTGTTCCTGCATGCCCCTCTGTGTTTCCCAGTGTTTCTCCGTGTGTCCCAGCATTTCCCTGTGTGTCCCAGCATTTCCCTGTGTGTCTCCCTGTGTTTCCCAGTGTTTCCCTGTGTCCCCATGTGTCCCTGCGTGTCTTTCTGTGTTTCCCAGTGTTTCCCTGTGTCCCCATGTGTCCCTGCGTGTCTTTCTGTGTTTCCCAGTGTTTCCATGTGTCCCTGCATGTCTCTCCGTGTTTCCCAGTGTTTCCATGTGTCCCCATGTGTCCCTGCGTGTCTCTCTGTGTCCCCCAGTGTTGCCCTGTGTCCCCCA